TATTTTTAGATTTGGCTAATTCAGAATTAGACCAATAATTAATAGGAGGTTATTCCGCCTGAATTTTACGTAGAATAAAAAATTGTTTCCACAAAACGCCCCGTTCCTTAAAGAAATAAATTTGTAAATTTACTAGATATATATTTCTTGCTTAATTCTCAATTAAATACGTTTAAAGTCCATCTTTCTCTTTAACGAACAATTTTTGTTCTCTATTTCTTTATAGTACTTTCGTACGTGGGACAACTCGTCGATTATTACTCACCTTTGTTTAATCCGAAGGAATCCGAGTTCACGAATATTTGACAAATTTTCGTAGTCGTAGATTATTTTAAGAAAGCTTTCCTTTCATTTCCATGCAGAATCAGCCACTTTCCACTTGTATCACCGGCTCGGATGGCATGTCTTCCTGTACATTTCGCTTTTTCCGAGAGGAAATCGCGGTCGCATTCGTCGAATGCAATTTCAGAACGTTTCCCGATTATAATTAACGGAGGAAGTTTCTCCCTCGATAAACAAGCGAATCGCGTAAACGTATTAACGAGCATAAAAGAAAGCAAATGGACGCATTCCGATTGGTGGGATGCGTAGGTGCGCGGCAACCGTGAGAATCTGTTCATCTCTCTAAACGAGTAGCAAGCTTTGACGGGGGGGTAGTGTCCTTTGAAGAACGCGCGCGGCTTATGAAATGGATGCTGGCCCGCTGTGTTTCCGTCTCTTTGTACAGTACTTTGTACAGCCCCTGTTCAACTCGTGTAGAGGTACTTACGCACCAGTGAACTTGGCCACTCCTTTTAGCGCTTCTCCTTCCATGATCACTGGATCACTCGAGCCCTTCATGTTGACCGCGTAAAGAGCGACCGTTGTCGGCATGCGAAGTTCCAGCTCCCAGTATGGGTTCGCCGATTCCAGTCGTTGCTTGTCCACGATCGCGACGAATTTTTGCGGCAAACCACCGTCGTACCCTTCCACGCAGGATATCCTGATCCAGGAGCCAGTCTGATTGTACGCCGTGCAGTTTTGCAACGGGTACGGTCTGCCTGCGAGCGAGACGTGATTTTCGATTATACAACGATACGTACAATTGTACGTATCAAGGCGTAACGTTTATACATACGTTTGTACACAGTTTGGCTAGTAAAAATATTTGCACGTCGTTTGCTGTGCGATAGCATCTATATATTTGCTTGCGCAAGTGTAGGAAATTTTGAATGAACATGATGTTTCACGTGTGATGTGTCGTGTGAAACGTTTTGAAATTTTATTTAACGTTGAAAACCAACGGCGACTAAAGTGTGAAATCTGTGGAGTGGGGGGGGGGGGAATTAGGATGCAAGGAACAGGAAAGAGTCTATAATATAATAAAGGGCACGAGCTTTCATCGATATATTTTACTAAAAATCGTTCAAGTCTGTTATAAACACTCTTGTAAATTTATAAAATTTCGATGAGAAATTATAAACTATCATTTTGACTATTTTGATAGTTTTAACGTTAATATTATCATTTTGGAACAAATCTGAAGTTGACAAGATATCTAACACAAGTATAGATTTCGCAGGAGTATTTAAATAGCTAGGATCGATCATATAAATATTCACAGTGAGGTCGTCTTTAACATTTGTTATATGCTTCGAATGGATAATAATTTGTTTGCTATATCTTCTTTTAATAGTACATTTAATTAACAATTCTTTCATATCACTTGATACTACGAGAATAAAATGTAGAACCTGGTGGAGAAGCAGGAAAATAAAGGTGTATGCAAATACTTTCTGTAGCCACTGTAGAGTAGACTTCCGTTTGTATGAACTCCATTTATGTATTTCAATGAAATGTTGCGTTCAATTATATGTTTTAACAAGTTACCGGTTCAATTCATTTATCCGAACTACATATGCAGTAAATTCCTATTACACGATGATGAATGAGTAAACTTCTATTGTACAATTACGTATGAACAATTCTATTGAAATAGAAATTAATTAATTAATTGGCAAGGATAAGCAACGACTGTTAAATATTAAATATCAAATATTATTTTGTTCGTAATTACGTCATGTTTTTCAGATTTAAATTCACATAACTAAACAACGAAATTAAAACATTTATTATAAATCGAAGTTCGTTTCAATCACTTTTATCAAATGTATATATATGTATATTTATTTGTATACATAATATTCAATCTACCGAGTTCTTAAAAATAAGTTCTTGCAGTTCGTACGACATAAAGGTTAAAACTGATAGAAATCATTTGTTTCCGAGTTCACACAAACGGAATTTTACTGCGCGTGCACGAAGACGGGACACTTTCAATGTTTTTAATCAAATTACGCGTATATATATATGTACCACATGCTGAAACAATAAAGCGAGTTGCCGCGGTATCGCGCGTGTACACAGCGTAACACAAGAATCTGTTGTTCCGAATGGACGTCTGTTAACAATGAGTTGTTTACCGTAATGCAGTAAACTTCTGCACGCGGCGATAGAAAGCCGATAAAAAGCGAGATGGTCGCGTTATGGTTCACACAGCGAACTTCATTTTATTTCGCAACGAAAACAGCAACACGATGCTCCGTCGTTTCGCGAACCAATGAAATTATGTTGTACGGTCGTCATTATCGACGATGGTGTTGCATTAACGAGATCACTTGTATGCAAAAGGTATGCAAAAGATTGCGCAAGCGGCCGATGGAGTTCTCTTCTTTTTTGTTTCTTCGTGTAACGCGCAACGAAAATAATCCTTTGCAACAGTGTAGATTAATGGAGCCGTGTGATAAAAGCAGATTCCCCTGCTTTTTAAAACCACCTTTCTTTTTCTAAGCGTGTCTTTGTCCCCGCGCGTTTTTTTTTTTTATTTTTTCACCCTCGTGAATTATTTAACGGTCAACGCGTGCCGTCGCTTTGCCCCGTCGAAAGCTCGCGTTCGCAGATTGTTTCGATAATTTACCTCGAAACAATCTCCTCTCTGCACGGATCCAGGAGATCGACGATTACTTCGACGAACAGAGCGAGAGAAGAAGGGAAACCCGACGAAACTGAACACGTATACGTCTTACAATTAACGATTTAATTACTCGCGATCGGCGAGGCAGCCGTGCCGTGTATACCGATTGTCCTGCGATAAAAAATTACTGTCCGATAATTACCAACGTAAGAAATACGTTGCCGCTCTAACCGGGAATAAATTATGCGTCCAATTATCGCGAGCAGCGCGCGCGGCAGAGTTGAAAATTGAATGGTCGGGCGAATTATTGACCGGGCTTAGCTAACCTTTCTGCTATCCGAGCCTACCTACCGACCTTTCTATCGGTCTTTCCACAGCCGCGATACACGGACCTGAATTAATTTCGCGGACTCTGAACTTTTTCATCCGTCCCGATATCGATTCCCGGCCGATATATATTTTTCGTCAGTTTTCA